CAGTGATAAATAAACATCACAATTGAAATCTACTTCATTCCATGACAGAACACTTGTCACGGAAGTATTAGATAATTATCAAAACGAGTAGGAATGATCAGGTTGTGGCTAATAGTAGGCCAAGTCACCGATGTCTAGACGTTCGCATGGTTATGACTTGGTTTCAATTTAAATTTAATATAACAAATAAAGATTTTTCAAGTTAAAGGTTTAAAATAAATGTAAATAACCGACCCGAAAAACCCGAAACCGAACCGAAAATTTACAGAACCGACCCGACCTGAAAAATTTTGGAACCGCAACAGCCCTATTGGGTACCATCATATTTGACCTTTTGACCTTGACCTTGGAGTTTGACCAATTTTTGCAAAATTTTACGAGACTTTAACCTTGGCCATAACTTCTGAACAGTTGGTGCTTGAGGTTTCAAACTTCACATGTGTATTCCTTTTGACAGGACCTTCCTCTGGATATCAATCTCTTTGACCTTTTGACCTTGACCTAGGAGTTTGAAAAACTTTAATAACCTTGGCCATAACTTTTGAATGATTGACGCTAGGGCTTTCAAACTTCAAATATGTAATCCTTGTGACATCACCTTCCTTTGGATACTAACCATTTTGAACCTTTGACTTTGACATAGGAGATTGACCTACTTTTGGAAAACTTTAACCTTGGCCATAACTTTTGAATGGTTGGTGCTAGGGCTTTCATACTTAACATATGTAATCCTTGTGACAAGACCTTCCTTTGGATACCAACCAACCACTTTGACCTTGACATAGGAGTTTCACCTACTTTCGAAAAACTTTAAACTTGATCTTAACTTTTATATGGTTAGTGCTAGGGCTTTCATACTTCACATATGTAATCCTTGTGACAAGACCTTCTTTTGGATACCAACCACTTTGACCTTGACATAGGAGTTTGACCTACTTTCGAAAAACTTTAACCTTGATCTTAACTTTTGAATGGTTGGTGCTAGGGCTTTCATACTTCACATATGTAATCCTTGTGACAAGACCTTCCTTTGGATACAAACAACTTTGACCTTGACCTTGACATTTTACTTACTTTTAAAAAACTTTAACCTTCGCCATAACTTTTGAACAGTTGCAGCTAGAGCTTTCAAATTTCACAGGTATATTCCTCGAGACAAGACCTTTCTTTGGGTACCAACATTTTTTTTATCTTTTATGCTAGATTTTGACTTGCATTTGAGAAACTTTAACCTTTGCCATAAGCTGCCATTAACAGGGGAATCAGTGTTTCACAAACACATCTTCTTTATATAAGAAATGCTCCAGATCACTTCCACATAAATCCACTAGCCATGTTTTAATTCAATGAAACCCTAAGTTTTACATTTCTTGATTAGATTTTAAAATCTTATAGCATGCAAAGGATTAAGGCTACAGTTTCTATATTTAATATCCTAAATTTTTTTACAGGTTATGTTTTGCTTTGGTACAATTCACATACATGTAGTAGTCTGTAGATGAATTTCATTTTACTTCCCACTAAACTACTTGAGTAAGATTTGTACTACTGATAATGCTTCAATACAAGTGTAACTGAAAATGTTACTGAAATCTGAGATGTTGAAGGGGGCCAACATTTTATTCAGCATCTTCCCTAGCCAAGGGTTTCTGATCTGCTACTCTCCTCACAAAACCTTGGCCTATGGTGCTATCAAAAGTCCAGATTTTTTTCTTGACAAGTTGTGATATTTGGAGTTTATTAATATTGTTCAACCAATTAGTGATGGCTTTTGTATTAATGACAATATCTCATTTGGGATATATCTTGATTCTTTAGTCTCGGGAATGACAAAAAGTAAACAATGATCCGTAAGATAATATGCCATTTTATAAATAGCTATGATCATTTGCAGGTCTTAAATTGCAAATAAAAATTGCTTGATACCTGCTTGTTAATTATACTTTAAACACTTTAACTTATAAATATGCTTTTTATTTCTGTCAATGACGTATGCAGTAAGATTTGAGATCATGTGATATAAACGATCCCGACTTGTGATATCAACATACGCCAAGGGATTTTAGGCGAGTTGAAGATCAGAAATCCTCGCCTAGCAAAGATGTTTTCAACTGAATCAGTATATATCATTCCTTTGACCCAAAAGCATAGAACAAAATCAAAAGGGTGATTTTTTCACTTCAAATGTGAACAAGCTGTCAATGGCTTCATAAAAGTTGAAATTGGGCAAAAATTTAAGACTTACAATGCTCTTTTTGAATTTTGTGTAATATATGCTGCCATATCTGGGAGATAAAACTTAAAAAGAGAACTGAATAATACAATTTTACAACAACAACAAAAATATATTTGGGTCAGTGCGTAAAGGTATAGGGTCAGTTGGGTAACCATACAAAAAATTTTTTTTTCTTGGGCCTTAGCATAGTCAATGGTGCATATACATGATAAAGTAATTAAGGGTCAGCTGGAACTTAACCATAAACAAATGCTTTCTTCTTAGACCTTATTAATTTAGTAAATGAACACCATAACAATTTAGTCAATGAACACAGGCTTGTAACTGCTTCATGTAATGACGTATTTAAGGGCTACAGAAGGATATGCATGCATGTATTACTTGAATGTATTTATTAATAAATTAAATTTATAAATAAAACTAAATACTGTAGGAATGAAATACATAAAATTAGCATACACGATGCCACCACACTCATAAATGAAACATTTGATTTTTAAGACAGATGAATAAATATATAATAAATTTTCTTAACTTTAAGCTCATTGTTTTAAAATTAACAAATTTAATGAACAGTGTGCTGATGATAATTAGAACTCATTAATATTCTAAGTCCTGTAGAATGAAAGTCTGGGAGTTATACCTTAGAATGCTGCAATGAAAGAATATTAAAATATCTAACCTTTTACTTGAACTCCTTTACCTGATAATATATAATCATTTCTTTTCAAAGAAGGAATGGTACCATGATTTAACAGGAAATTGACAATTTTAAGGGGTACATCCCACCCACCCACCCACCCCTTTAAATCCGCCATTTGGCTAAACTATTGATGCTGTACAGTAGAGTTATGAAAAGACAATATATCTAATCAACACCAGGAAATAGTCTGAAGACCACAAATTTTAATGGGGCCTTGAGGCATAATTTAATACTTAAATATATATGTCTTCAAGTATAGATCATCGAGTGCATTTAGCAAAATTTGTGTCAAACTCTTCAGCCTCTCGTGGATATGTAAATTTCCTGCTGAGACCGAGGATCATTTTTGGAACAAAATTAAGAGGAAATATTGCACTGACTAACAGTGGTTTTGGTCACTGTTACTCATGAAAGTAAAACATTTTTATCCTTGTTCTACCAATACACTTTTAGTCACACGCATGGCACAGTTGTTAGAGTGTTTGCTCTAGAGTCACAGAGTAGGGTGCTGATCCTTACGTTGCAGATTCAAATCCCACTGACGGACCTGGTGACCGGTCCTTCGGATGAGACCGTATAAAACAAGGTCCTAATCACAGTAGTTGCTGGTACAAAAAAGATCCTTCACTGCTCAATGGCCCTGAGTGCAGAGTATATGTCTAAAATTTGCAGCCCTCCACCAGCAAGTGGTTGTGTTTCAATAAGAGTGAAAAATTCTCAAAAGGGACGTTAAACAAACAAACCAACCAATGCACTTTCCAAAGAAATTTAAAATACTGTTAAAATGTCCAACACATAGTGAGACCGACAAGTTAGCATTAAGACCAATGTTAATGTACATTTGTTATACATATATTACCAATGAATCGACATTAACATTGGTCTTTAATACTCCTAAATTACAATAATTTGTAGCCCTGGATGCATGATTTTATCGATATACCAGGTATATCATGATTTTCTATTGCACAATACATGTTGTGATACGGAGACTAAAATACCGTTATTTTGTATGCAATTATAAATTCCTGAAATAGTCATCATATATATTATTAATTATTATACACAGAATGGCAGTGTTCATGTTTTGCGATGGGAAACCCAAACAAAAGGCCCATGGGCCACATCACTCACCTGAGCACTTTGCTTAGAGAAAAGCAGAAATCAGTTGAGTATTGAAAAGTTTAACATATGTGGTCCCATCATACCCCAGGAGGGGTGGGGGAGAGGGTCATGATTTGAATAAGGCCAAATAAAAGAATGTGTGTGTTTCCATGCAGTAACATGTGATGCCAAAGAAAATTACGGTAGGAAGGTAGGTGATAACTTTTTCTTTAAACTTAACTTTTTATTTTGAAAGCATCAGTTAATTATTCAATATGCTGGGTTTTTTTTCTTTTCATATATACAAACACATATATGAATAAACATACACAACAAAACAAGTGTACTCTTTAAAACTGTTAGACATGTTTTTACAGTATCTGAAACATGCATTTTATTGACTACACTATGAAAAAATTGTACTTTTTAACAAAAGTACAGTTCAAAATACAGATTTGGAATAAAAGGTGGTAGGTCGGTGGATAAAAATTATGGTAGGTCAGCTTACCGAAACATTTTTTTTAAAGCCTAATTAACTTCACTTCCTTGTTTATACATATCACAGCAGACAACAACTTGTCAGCTGTCCAAATCATGCTTTAAAGTGAAAGTTAAAATGTTTTGAATGCTGATCCTGATCAGAATCAACATGATCAAGACGTCCAACTCTTAAATTTTATGGACTTTTTTTGTAAAAAAGAGAAATTAAAAAATTGAGGAGGGATAACAATCTGGCATTCAAGGATGAAAATCTAGCTTTTTTTTTTTTAAATATGGCCTTAATTGACTAGTAACGCACAGAAATCTTGCCCTGAAACTCAACCTGCATATATACAAATATCATTAAGTAGAAAAATTCTTCTGCTGTAAGAGGACTTCACAAAACTATTATACGCCTTTTTCATGCATTTTAAAAAAGAATAAAATTTCATTTTGGAATAATAATACATAACTCACCTGTGTCCCATCTCTTCTCTCTGAATTCAGACCAGCATTAAGTCTGTACTCATCTAAATTCACATAATCTCCTTCATCTGAAAAACTTCTTCTATATCCTTTGTTTTCAGCAATCTTAGTGTTTAGATTTATAGACCCTGTGGTCTGAGTCCCGAATGTGGAAAAGGTGGTTGATTGTTTTCGCTCGAATGTTACCTCACTGCCTAATTCCTCCATCTTGCTATTTAATCCCACCACTCCATTTTCTGTTTTGCCGACATTTTTTTCCGGAGTCACTTGTGCACTTGAGAGGTCAGAGGAATCTTCATCTAGTGTGCTATTTCCTGATCTGATTTCTTCATCCCTCTCAAGTCCTGAATCATCCGTTTTTGTTGTGGCGTCCACATTACTTCCGCTGTTGTCAACAACACGTACATAATTAGCAGGAACGTAGAACGAGAGATCGTCCAAATTACCCATGTCTCTAATAACCTCCCACCAATCACCCTCTTTTTGGATTAGATGATATTTTTCCCCTTCTTTCATATGAACTATATGACCATCATCATCTTGATAAGAATAATCATACAAGGCCACAAGTTTAGTAACAGGCATCATTGAATATGGATCATATTCCTCTTCATCTGAGCCTGTGTTTCCCAAATCAAAACTCATTGTGATTAGCTTTTATAATTAGCTTCTTTTTAAAGTTTCAATTTTAAAAAAATGGGTTAACAGGAACAGGAAAATTTGTCTGTTTGTTGTTTCATGAGTTTTCAGGCATAAAGGGCAGTTCTAGGTTCTGTCTTACGATTTCAAAACAAGTTATTATCTGACTTCAATTGATCAAATAGGTTGTGGTTTTCTTGCAGCATTCAATTTCCATTAATAAAAACTCAAAATGTTTAGAGTTCTTTTGGCCTTATCTTGCTTTGCTTTTATTCTAAATTATCAAGACTTTGTACTATGAATATGAAATCTAAAATGAAAGTTTTGGACTTTTTTCCCTGAACAAGCCCTTTGCTGTAATCGGGCACCAGCAGATGTTTACCATGGATAACGAACTCCCTTGTTTAATCATTAACACGCTTCACTTTCCGTTTAAACTTTGTACAGGTTGTGTGTATCACTTTGTGTCTACATTCTGATACAAAATTTGTTCAGGAAACTGCTACTCGTTATTCCGGAAGTTCACAAGTGGCAGACATCGCCCTCTGCTGTTTACTATTTTCCGAATGTTTTTGTTACATTGCATATGATTGGTCGAAAGTTTTGTCACTTTGTTATCTCGCACACTAAATATTCGGTTCCATATATATTTGTTTCCTAATTAAAATTTTGCTAGCACCCCCTCGCCCCGAATCAAATCGTTGGGTTGTCCCCTTAGGCAATAAATAGCGGTTTGTTGCATTTAAACATCTGAAACTAAGGCGAAATATCATGAATTTTTCCATGTAAAAACTTAAGTATTTTAGCGTTGAAAAGTGAAAATAATCCATTGAATAAAATTGATATTTTTCACACAGTGCTTCTTGTATTCTAATTACTTAGAAAGCATTTTAAACTATATTTACATTTTTATTTCACATATACATGTGTAAATGAAAATAATTAGGACAGCCCCGTAGCAAAGGTTTGAAAAAAGGGGGGGGGGGCTTCCAAAAAATCTGACGAGCAACCTTGGACAAAAAGCTAAATTGTTGGGGGGGGGGGGGCTTCTCAGAATAATTCTGACAATTAAAAAATAACTAAATGTCCAAATCATGGAATTTTGCAGTGCTCGACCTTAACACAAAAAAGCGGGAAAGTTTACTATAGCAATACTCAGAAAAAAGTGGAGGAGCAGACCCCCCCCCCCCGCCCCACCCCTGTGTTCTATTTCAGGCCTGAAGGAGGAATCAATGTCTAGTTCAGTAAGGGAAGTCCCTACTAAAGGATCATCCCAGAAGATGGTATATAATAGAAAAGAGGATAAAATTTGAATTAAAAAGAGAAAAGTGATGGATGAAAATGAGTTAGTAAAACCTACTTCACTATTGTGCAATAAATATAAAATTAGGAGTGCTATATAAAGTCAGCCTTTAAAATAAGAGAAGTAATTGTACATCAGCATAAATTATTTGTTTTTTTTCAATATTTACATGACCCTACATTAAAATTTAGTTGTAGGCCGTGAGCAAATTTTCCCCACAGTTTGCAGACTCTCTCTCTCTCTCTCTCTCTCTCTGAATATTCTCCATAGTATTTCTTGACCTTTCTCACTGGTATTTCCTCGTACTGTTTCCAGCCCTTTTCACAGGTATTTCCCCACACTGTTTTTAGACTCTCTCACTTCGTCTTGCTTTATGACAGTGTAGACCGAATACTATGTTGCGGGTCAGGTTCTCTGTAAATCCCTGGATTTTCAATGAAGTTTTTTGAGTTGTTCTGTGAAAATATAGTATGGGAGGAGTCGATAATGATTTGCAGTAATATTCTCTCGTCTTGATATATAATTATGAATTTGACTCCTGGCTACCAGTTTCCTTGCTGAGATAGGATATGCTAGTTCGGTCACGTATAATGGCTGTCTAGTGTCATGTATAGAATAGGCGACATTTTAACAAGAAATGGAGCCTATCCTCTATACTCTCCTGGCATAACAAGCACTCTCTATTCACTTCATACTGATTAAACTTGTTTGTGTTGGTTTGTTACCGGTAGGTGTTTGTTGCGAGTTGGGCTTTTACAATGGCTTTCCTGGAAGCATTAGGAGAATCTGTACTTGCCTGCCATAGTAGATGAGGATGTCAACACGAATTTGTCTGTAGTTTGAGATCGTGTAGGGAAACGTTTCCTGAAATTTCAATTTCATTTTTAATTTGCCAATAATCATGACATTTTTTTTTATTCCTGCTTCCACTGATTGGCTTCTAATTAAATATCTCTTATATTTCCTAATAGATCGAGTGGATCTGGCAGATCATACTTTTCTTACGTACTTTTAATTGGTCCTAATTAATCAGTTGGAACCTTTACTTCCAGACTTTATTATGAACTGTCGTACTGCTATTTTGATGCTCTAGTTGAGGGATGTTTGGCAACATTAAGGAAAGGAATCAGTATGGGCCTCTATCGTTTTGGCTCCATTGCTGGCTATAGTGGCTACTGACGCAGTCATTTAGGGGAGAGTTTGAAGTTGCTTCAACACCTTCTTTTGATATCTTTCGAGTTTCTCCAGATCCATTTTCCTTACATTTGATAATTCAATCCCATGGAGGAGTCTAGGTATAACAAATGTCGTCTACATATTTACAGTAATGATAAGGGATAGCGCATTTTTGATCATGAATGCCACTTCCTAGTAGAGCATAAAGAGTTCGTGAAGTTTCTATTCTTTGAACTATATAAGGAGAATTTGTTGGGTTTCTTTCAAAACCTAAAGGTTTTAAGGAGGTTACTAAATCACATCATTTCCGAGCTTTGACCTCAATGTTCTGTTGTTGTTGTTTTTTGTTTTTGTTTTTTTTTTACCAGTATTAAGAAACAAGTATTTGACGAGTTTATACTGAATTTGTATTTGAAGTTGTATCTACAATATTAGTCAGGACCTGTTCATCTATTTGATTTTAAGTTAATAGAGTAATGCCATATCTGCGCATGTTGGTGAGGTAATAGAAAGGGTTCCGATATACACCCTTTCAGGAATTGACTACAGAGAATCGGTTCAGATCTTTATATTGAATCTTTTGTACATTAGTGTAGATAATTTGCCCTGCTGTCTTATATTTTGATAGAGTTTCGTTCCATTTTATTATAGTGTAAGCATCAGTATGTAGAGATTTCACTAAGTTCCAAAAGTCACTTTCAGTACCATCTTTATACAGTTTGCACAGCAAATTTTCATGCCATACTACATCAAACGCCTTTTCTGCATCAATGGTTTGTCAAACATAATAAAAAATATATTCAGTCCCCTGTTCCTCACGATATAAAAAAGCACCCAGTATATAAAAATGATAATTATTGATAGTGGTGTAGAATAATTCGTTAATAATTTAAAACCTGTTTTAGTTAGAGAACCATCTCCCTCTAAACTGCTGCCATGATAGCCTCAGATCTCTCTCATAAGAATATCAATGTTAAGCGTTTTTTATTTATCTATTTTTTTATTTTTATTATTATTATTATTTTTTTTTTTGGCAAATAGCGTTTTTATTAAGTTTACATTAAATCTGGACTAGGGGCAGTATTTCTTGGCTTACTGGAGGAATCAGTGAAGGTATATATAAAAGGTTTAATAAATGTATGTTTTGAAGCAATCTAAAGACACATAAAGTAAAACTCTTTAGCAGAGCGTGACTTTACATCATTATTTATATAAAAAGAATTGGTTGTGCTCAATATCAGTTATTGATCTTTTATACTGGTGCTTTATTGACTTCTTTTAAATCCATTTCCTCTGGTTTGCTTTCAGTTAATGTTTGTCATCGCTGAAAAGAAATAAAGAATATAATGCAAGTTCCTTCTATAGTAGCCCCACGGTTCATGTTCAGATATTATCTATATAACTTAAAATCAATATGTTCCACATTTTAACCAAATTTCGATTTTAAAGTGCATTCTTCTCTTCATACCTTTAGAATGTACATACTGTATGTACATGTACAATGAAATTTACATATGCTTGAATTCCAATCAGCCAGAAGAGCTTAAAAGAGCCGTCACGTTCTTTTTCCGGTAGATTTCCTTTCAAATTGGAACCTGTATATCTGCGATCCCGTAGCAGATTTATAGAGGTAACATTCATTTAACATCGTCTTTTGAAGTAAATTATTTTTCCTTGCGATGTCATGAAAATTTTCTAAAAAGATTGTCTCAATAATTATACGTTCCTACTTATAGCTAGAAATAAAACGAGCTGTATCTGAATGTTTTTACCAATATTAACTGATTGTTTGAACCATGAATTTATGCATTTTCTGTGCTTGTGGTCATTAAGAATAAGGCACATGTATATGATCCAATAATCATATTGGTAACTCTGGGTTGTTTTGTTTTTTTTTTAACAGATCTACAATGGATTCAGCCTTTATAACCTGTAAAATTTGTTCCAAAAAATTTACTGACCCTTGTCATTTGGAGTGTTTGCATGATTTCTGTAAAGAGTGTATTCGAAATGATCTGAAACAAAATCTAAGCACAAGACTAGATGCATATTCATGTCCAATTTGCAAACAACTAACACCAACCAAAAACAAATCTCCCGAAGATTGGGTTGAGCAACTTCCACCGAGTGACTTTGTATCCGCCCTAACGGAAGTGTATAAACTGAAAATAGATGATGTCTATTGTTCTCCTTGCAACCGGAAGGGGAGGTCAACAACAGGAAGTAAATGGTGTCGAACTTGCCGTGAGACCCTTTGTATAAATTGCCTCGACGTTCACGGTTCATTGAAAACTACGATGAAACATACCATTCTGGACCTACAGGAAGTCAAATCCAGAGAAACAAAGAAGATCATTTTCGATCCAAACTGTATGAACCATGAACATCAACCTCTGACGTCATTCTGTGAAGCTCATGACGAACTAATATGTTCGCTTTGTATCGGAGAGAAACACAAAGACTGTACATCGATCAGGACTATCAACGACGAAGTTAAAGACAAGTCGCATGAAATTCAAGATATCTCATCGAAAACTTCAGAACATCTTCAGATCACTAATAACGCCTTACAGTCGTCACAGGCATCTCTCCGAGAACTGGACAATTCGTTTCTGAACTTAAGCAATAGTATTCGAAGTGTTCGAAAGCGTATCGATGAAATGCTTAGTAAATACGAACGAAAGTCTTTGGAAAAACTTGCTGGGATAGAAAATGAATTCCGAGAAAAATTGCAACATGACATACAAAAATTAGAATCCTTAAACGCAGAATGTTCACACACAAATCAATTGCTCGGCAATGTGAAAGATTATGGTACAGATGGTCACATCTTGCAATGTCTCCAACAAGTTAGAGGTAGGAATGTCAGTCACTCGACAGTTGTTGAAGAATATAAAGAAATGTATGGATTGCCAACGGTTAATTTTGTGATCAACAGTCAACTGGATGATGTGCTGAACACCTTGACTTCTGTAGGAGAGCTTGTCGTGAATGATATTGGAAACAACAAGAAAACACAGCAGCTGCCTTCTAAATCCAGACAGACAGAGCATAAACCAAAACTTACAGAGATAAAACGTAGGTTAGCGGACAAAACGGTGTCTGTGAGAACTCGGTCTGACGAGAACGCGTGTTTGATCACAGGCATTCTCTCTTTGCCTTCACTAGACTGGTTTCTCTGTGACAAAGGAAACAAAAAATTAAAACTTTATGACAGTCAGTTTCAGATTAAGTCGGAGCACATCCTCGAACAAACGCCATATGACACCACCTGCCTCGATGACCACGTGGTTGCTGTGACGGTGCCAGAGGAAATGAGAATATTGGTCTTCAGGGTCCTAGCTGGAATCAATTTACAAGAGGAACTGAAGATAAACGATCGCTGCTACGGAATAAGTTATTCTTCAAAAGAGGACAAATTTGTAGTAACGTGTCCTTTTGCATCACCAGCTTCTGTTCGAATTCTTTCCAGAAAAGGAGAAGAATTGATGAATCTAACTCCAGAAGAGAACCTGCAGTCTTTGTTTCTTCGTCCATGGTATGTCGCATTTGATGGAACTGGAAACTCATATTTTGTCAGCGATAGTCAAAGGAATCGGGTTACATCTATCACTAGATCTGTATACAGACGGTTTCACTACACGCACGCTAACATGAAAAGCCCACGTGGTCTAGCTATGATATCGAATGGCGAGATGTTCATCGCGGGATGGGGTTCGGACACTGTGCACAGAGTTGATGAGAACGGAAGACTCAAGGAAGAATTTTTGTCCCGCCATGATGGGATCATAAGTCCTCAGGCCGTTTGTGTATCGAAAGACAACACCACACTGGTCTTGTCTCTAGATCAGACCAGCTGTCGTAGCGATCTGCTGCAGATTTTTCTTATATGAACATATACGTATACAGTGCATCTTTTCTAATTTTAAAGCCTTGTTAAACTGTTAGTGTAATGAATCCAATTTCAGTTTAGCCGATAAACTAACTTGTTTCTGCTTGAACAAATATACTCATCTTTTGGAGAAAGCATAGAATGACACACTATATGCAATATAATATTATAATATAATATTATATAATATATAATGAATAATCCGATCCGCTGTCAGGTGATGTATTTCAAGGATTTTCTTGGAAAATATGTATTATTGTTGTAGTATGGAAAGGAGGAATGAGTTAATATACATTGAAAACTCATAAATAGATATATAATGAAAAACATACGGCTGGAGCGGGAATCGAACCCGGGACCCCTGCATTACTAGTCAGGTGCTCTAACCACTGAGCTATCCAGGCCGATGTCCTCCATCCAGCCTAAATTCCTACATTGTACACAAAGGAGGAACCAGATCTCTGTGTTTTTGGATTATCATTGTAAATATACAGTTTATAGGAAACTTAAGGCGTTTTCCACAGACACCTGATGAATGGATGATGTAACCCCGTCCCCTTTCTGAGAATTTGTATTAGACACGATTACTTACCAAAAATACATGAATTCCTAGCCTATCATACCTATATTCCGATATCTCATATCGTTTTCCGTTTTTGTTAAGTTATAGAGGTTGGCCGTCTACGGTATATAAAAAAATAATACCATTTTTAATTTATATAGGGCCAATCTCTTAACCGTAACAAAAGCGAAAAATTATATCAGATATTGGAATACTAGTATAGGTATGGAGGATAGGAATGCATGTATTTCTGATAAATTTTCGCGTCTAATAATAAAAATTCTCAGAAGGTTGTGTGGGTTTAACATGCATGTCCAAGACGAATTCGATGTCGATATTGACAATAACGATATTGACAATATCGCATCGATACCGATCCTGATCAGTACTATGAAATTGAAAATACTGGATACCATGTACAAGACAGAGAGCTGTATGTCGATATCGACTATATCATGATGATATCGTATCGATATACGATCCTGAAGTGTAAAATTTATTTTCAAGTTAAGGTATAACTTAATTATTTAAGCCCACAAGCGAAATCAATATTGATTCATTGTAAATAAATAAGGATGACAAACAGAACGTTAAGGGTCGTTAATGTCAGGGTTAGGGTTAGGGGTAAGGTGAAGTTTGGTAAAAACGTGTTTTGAACAATCATGATTCGATATTGACAGTAGGACAAAGTTATAGGAAAGTAAATACACACAAATATTGCATGAAGAAATACAGCCACAAGAGCGATGACAAAAATGGCACAAATGATTCGATATTGATGCGATATCGACCACAAGCTAGTACAATCTTCATCAGATACACAATAGCAAGGGCGGTGTCAGCCATGGGTTGAGCAAACACGATTCGATATCGACGAAAACTTCATAAAGCGATAGTGTTCAAATAACCCACATGTTTAAAAAAAAAACATAGTATTAAGAGTGGTAACCATTCGATGGCGATGCGATGTGGGGGATGACGTGGAAATTGACTGTAAGGAAACATCGATCGTAAATAGAAAGTATTCTTATACACACAAGTATACAGAAATATTGTAGCATTTTAAACTATAAAAAAGTAATCCGTCAGGTACCTGTGGTTTGTTCAGTCAAGAATAACACATTACTCAAAATGCACGACTGTGCATCGTCAAATAAGAGATCCATATGATTAAGAAAAGTACTTACCTAACTAATTTAAAATTTCACTTCTATTTATCTTTGAAAACTGTCCAAGAAAAAGAAAGCTCGAGAGCTGGAGATGAAAACGGCAAAACGATCGATCAAACAACCACAATCACACGCAAGTAAGGAGGAGTCAAATGATGTACACTTCTTGGTGAGGCTTTAGACACCCCCACGCCCGACCCCAATTTGAAAGAAGTGTGAAGATACCAAACAATTATCATGCTCAAAAGTCTATTTTAACCATAGAATTTGCGAAATGTTGATTTTCAACAAGAAATTTGATACCTTGTATTATCAATTTATTTGTCAGTAGCCTGCCTCGTATTAGAAATTGTTCGTACGTAGAAAATTCTCATGCATATCGAATCAACTGGGAGACACACCAGAGGCCCAAAGTCCTTATAGCGGTCACTTGAATATGATACAACCATGTGGAGGATCCACAGAAGTATAGCATAAAACAAAATAAACTGAAAGATGAAGCTATATTGCCCAAAGGCAGAGAAATATGATGATCAGGGATCATCAAAATAATTAGTCTAGCACTCGGTAACAAATCTTAAAGTATTATATTTACTTGCCTGGCTAACCCATATTTGTCACTATTACCATGCAGACTAAACAAAACAGTGCTTGAGTACTATTATAGCAACTGAGTCAATCTCATTTTCACATTGGCCTCTCTCGGTCTTTGAAGAACATTTAATGTACAAAGATAAGGAACGAGTATTTATGTCTCATTTTTATTTATTATTAACAAGTCTGTCTGCCTAATAAAAGCTATGCAATTAATTTTTGTATTATGTATTATACAAATACTTGTGTATGGGCCTTTCAAATAAATTATTAAATAATTAAATTAAATGATTATTTACCGTGATTTATTATCATAGGTGAATTGCAAAGGGGAATAATAACTCCTCTCAGTAGAATACAATTTAATAGAACCCTGCCCAGCACCATAGCACTTGATCAAGGTGTCAAGAACTACAAAAATCTGTTAAAAATATCCTTTCTTATTATATTTATAACTTTGTACTCTGTTTGCCCCCTAGATGTCCAGGAGCGGAGAAGAAAACTTTTAAAGAAATAATCCATTTTCACTAAAGATTCAACACAGCTCTACTCTAACTCCGGGAGCTAGAGAGTCCAGAACCCCTGACACTGGGGCTATGAAATTCACAATTTTGACAGAGGCAAACTCGCTCGTCATAACAATGCTTTTAGTGTATCTGCTACATACCCAGGAGCAGATAAAAAGATTTTTAAAAGGAAATAATGCATTTTCACTCAATAATCAATAACCCCCCGATCCCTGACTTTTGGGGGGGGGGGGGTCTTTTTTACCCTTTCCCCGGTCCAAGCAAACTTAAATAAAGAAATTCAGTTCAAAGCCTAAAATTTATGTTAATGAATCTATTTAAAATGTTATAATTGGTAGAGGAATGAATTTGCACATGTCAGACCAGTCATAAATAACAGACAAAGCATTTTAGGAAACTTTTTGGTTAGTGTGTTTTTAACCAATTGAATGAGAATGAAATGACGAACGAATTGTCTAAAAGCGACAGTTCGCGAAAACAATGAAAAACTACAGAACAAGGAAAAAATCAATTATTGATAAAAATAGATAAGAAAGCAAGTTTTTAGGGTAGAACCAGGTAAGAATTTTGTTTGTTTACAAAGTAATTATACCTTAGAGTTAATGACAATCTTAAGGGAATGCCAAGTACGTTTTTTTATTAAAGCTGCCATTAACCGTCAGGATGACGCCATTTTGACTGTAATCAAATGTAAATATTTTGCTATTTCTCATCATAATTTGACATTTTCACTGTAATTTCTGTTCTTGGTTAAATAATGATTTAAAATGATTTTTTTTGTTCCCGTGAGTTGGGTTACGGTATTTATTTGTTCTCCCCAAAGGTGTAAAGATTTTGTACTTATATTTATACTAGGGGAATTCCAGTCTGTAAATCCCCCACTGGAAATTTCATCAGACATTCTGAAATATTGTTTTATGTAAATATTCATAGATTTTGGGATTATTCATGCTACAATGTGAGTAATTGATCATTTTGAACTTAGTATTGACTATATTCTATGACGGAAAGTTAACAAAATTGAAATGAAATTAAAATCAAATAGAAAAATGGAGCGATACTGGTATTACTTCCTTATCTTATTCCTTGTAATTTATGTAAAAAAATCTATTGATTTAGAAAATGTCTTTACAAGTACAATAATGCCTTCAGAGTTTGTGATGATTTATAAAAATGAATCATTTTTGTAATGTTGGATAATAGATACTTGTAAACAGGAAGCCCCACCCTTTTCAGACAATGAAATAGAGTACATTTATTTTCCTATTTCAGTATGCTGGAACATCTGTTTATTTCCAATAAAGTCCATCTGTACATCTTGAAAAATGATGTTTTTTGAAAAGCAATGGAATTTAATGACATAACAGATTGTATCTCTTTCTTGAATGCGTGTTATTTGATTGCATGGTTTCCAGACAGAGGAAACTGTGAGAATTGATATGTTTATTTAAATCTGCATCCACATTATAAAATTTCCTGTTTTTTTTTTTTTTTAACCAGTCTCAGACAGTATGGAGAGGGTGGTGTACCAGCAGCCTATGGATGATGGAGGTCAGGAGCATCATCCCATGTTGTTGAATGATGGCCGAGAGGTTCCCAAACTGCCTCAGCCTGATCTAACAATATATGGTAATTTGTGATTACATTTTGCATTGAGTATCAAAATCCACTCTACAATCTGTTACAGTAAATAGCAGGAGGATTACATTTCTTACGCAAATTTCATTGATATATTTAAACTTAAAGACATCTGAAATGTGAAAGTATCATCAATGTTATGTAAGTATCACAAAACATTGAAAAAGAATATTCCTTGTCAGTCAGTAAACACAACATATTTATTTTTTTTATGCCCTGCTATGAATATGGGTGGGGCATATAGTGTTTGTCATGTCCGTCTTCCATCCTTCTGTCTGTCCTTCAGTCCCACTTTGCGTTTAGCTCGGTTCAAAGCTCAGTTTCAAAGAAACTCTCCAAGATATTTTTATCAAACTTCATGTGCTGATAGATATTGATGAGAGCAACATTTTTGGACCTTGACCTTTCCTTTGACCTTGACTTCACTTTTCTTAAATTAGTGTTTAGCTCAGTTTTAAAGAAACCATTCAGGATAGTATTATCAAACTTCATATGCTGATACATACTGATAAGAGCTATTCAACTGCATCAACATTTTTTGACCTTGACCTTTCCTTTGACCTTGACCCTATTTTTCTCAATTTGTGTTTTAACTCAGTTTTAAAGAAACCATTCATAATATTTTTATCAAACTTCATATGCTAATACATACTGATGTAAACTTTCAACTGCATCAACATTTTTTGACCTTGACTTTTCCTTTGACCTTAACTTCATTTATTTAAAATTAGTGTTTAGCTCAGTTTTAAATAAACCGTTCCAAATATTTTTATCAAATTCAATATGCTGATATGTATTTGTGAGAACTATTCAACTGCATCAAAAATGTTTAACCTTGGAACTTTCCTGTCACCTTGACCTCACTTTTCTTAAATTTGCATTTTGCTTCGTTTTAAAGAAACCATTTAAGATATATTTATGTAAGCTTATGCACTTATACATAATTTGGTGATAATTTATCATTTATATCTAACTTTTTAGATTTCAATTTCAATTTTAAAGAAACTATTCAAGATATTCTCATCAAATTTTATACACTAATACAAATTTTCATGTTGCATTACAAATATACCCTTGGTGGGGCATTCATGTCTTATGGACATATTTCTAGTTTATACAGAGAAACATTTAGTGAAAAATGCAGTTTAAAAAATTTTAAAGTTTATTACTAAGAAACTTTAACTCTGGCTTTTGCAACAGGTAATGATCTCTCCTACTTCACTCTGTTGAGACAACAGCTGAGTAACAGCTCGCATCAGAAACACCATGGATTTATTCACAGCAATCAGCAACCACAAAAGATCAAGCTTAATGTCTCCAAGGCAACACGGGTCCTTGAGCCTCCTCCTTCTCCGGATGAAGTTATCTTGATTGACAGTGATGAAGAAGATGACAGCACATCATCAAAGATTAATTTTCCCAAAGAATTCAAAGATCTTCAGATGGAAAGCTCAATTCAACTGAACCAGACTGTGGATTCTTCTGCTTGGACTCATCCGACTTCTCCTGCTCCAAGATGTGTACCAGTCCAAAAAAAGAAGCTGCGTATGTCCACCAAACTGGTAGCCGATGAGGAGGATCAAGGTTGTGACCTGAAACTAAAGCATGAAGATATCAAGACCATGGTGGTGGATCCTACTCCGGAACCGCAGACAATAGACACAGGACAGCTGGGAATACAGATGAGAACAGGAGGAATTGATGACTTAAATGAGATTCTCGAGTTGATGCATGAGATTGGCGAGATTCCGAAAGTGAAGGAGAGGAAAATCAGTTTTGAGGAAGGGTAAGAATTTTATCACCATAATAATACTTTTTACAGAGAATTTCTGTTTCTTTTTTCAATCAAAGGATGCCAAACACCTTGATAATAGATCCAAGTGTGTGCATGTAACACTGTAAATGAGGCAGAAGAAGACAAAGACAGCTTTTGCTCTGAAACATGAACAGTACAGAACTGGGAAACAGTTGTGTTCACTCAGCTGCAAAATCATAGTTTTAATTATTTTATTAATCTGTATCATTTTGTTCATATTGAAACTCTATGCTCTAAGAGTGTCTGTAGAAATATCATATTGAAAATCAGTTGGGTAGGTTCTGTTGAAAATTATGGAAGATATTGCAGAGTCAAAATTCCCTTCCACTCACCTGGGTTTGAAATAATTCTTCCTTCTAAGTTTGAAATAATTTTACATATTAAAACTTTACAAGTAAATACCTTTGAGGCAGTGGGCCACATTTATTTCCCTAGCCCTTTTTTTCCTCGTATGAAATCATTGACATGGAGAAGGAAGTTAACAATACAACTATGCATTTATTTTTGCAGGAAAGTGGTGGATGGAGAGAAGGAGGCACTAGTAGAACTGCTGAACACCCAGGAGAAACTGAAGAATGGAACCACAGGAGTCATCTGTCAGGTACGTAGGAGCTAGTTCAAGAAATATGTGTCTTCACACATGCCTAAATTTTTAAAGAAATTTTTAGTGACTTACGTGTATTTGTTTTCCTCAGAAAATGAATGAGTTTATTTACAATATTGTTGAAAACTTGAAATGTTTGTAAAATCTGTGTATGGTCTAATTCACTGAATTATTGATTAAATCAAATAAAAGTGTAACTTGCTTGGACATTCTAAATTTGCATTTCAAAGAACATAAGCATTTAGAAGTAGAAATTGCTTTCTCAAGTTTTCAAATCAATGTAAACACTCAATGACATGTAAAATTGAAAATTTGATGGTTTTTTAAATAAAAAAAAAATATTTAAAAAAAAAACAATATCATATAAATTTTCATACAGATAAAGCTGTTTCATAATGATATTTCAGCGATTGCAGAAACATATTTCACAAATATATCTAGACTAACTTCTTTGTTATACACAGAGGTTGGAGAGTTCTCGCTACGAGGAGTACAACGAGGGACATTTCACCGTCCTAAAACAGTTGGGGGAGGGGTCGTACGGAACGGTGGACCTGTGTAAAGATAGTGCCACAGAAGAACAGTTTGTTCTCAAAAAGGTAGGCAAGGCTTGTCAGTGTTTGAAATGCCCATGTGCCCAAGATGCACAAATTTTGCAGCGGGCGAACAAATTTGCATGTATTGATGGCCGGCTGGAGGTGTTAAATTTTCGATTATTAAAATTCATACATTTGATAAATTTCTTTCATATCAACTAATAGTATTAGTATCAAAGTGTAACAAGCCAAGAGGAAGAATTCATCAGTTTATAGATTCAGGATCGAAGTTTTGGTGAAATGGTTCTAGTCACATAATGGTTAAAAGACAATATTTTCTCGGGCTATTGTATTTTTGGCATTGCTGACAACTTTTACTAGCAGTCAGCCCTGCATCTCTGGCTAATTTTACAGTGAATTTCAAACACAGCTGCTTGTATAGGTGTGATTACTCTGGTAGTACTTGAAATAATGTCAGCATAATGCCATAAATCTTGTAAATGGTTTCTTATTTGGTGCTGAGTTCCAGTTGTTTAAGGTTTAATGAATCTATTAATGAACAATCTGCATATTTTTAAATGAAAGTTTTTTTTTTTTAGAAAGGATTAACACATTATCACAATTTTTCCAGTCAGAAGAATTGTAGATATAAAATCAAAGTCAGTGAAATTGGTGTTGTGAAGAGAAATTTGTTTTGTAGGTACAGAAGGACTTCAAAGTAGAAGAAGTAGTGGTGCTGTTGTACCTTGAACATGAGAACATCACTGCTCTGTATGGATACATCAAAAGAGATGGAATTTCTGAAATTCTAATGGAGTATGCAGGTTAGAACTTAATTTTGCTCATTAGATTTAAAACATGAGCAAGTTTTAAATATAAGTACTTTTTTCCTTGATACTTATTCTTTTAAAAAAAAAAATTAAATGTTAGAGGTAAAAAAAGGAAAGAAATTGTTTATTTTATTTTGGAAGATATATGCATTAATATATTATTACTTCTAGGTTTGTATATTAGATATTTAAAAAAAAGAGAGAAGTGAAACTCAAGAACTTTTTGTATTAATATGCTATTCCAGGTTGTGCCCCATCATATGGTCATATTTATGTCAAAGGCCAGTGCATTACTGATTAAAATATTTTAGGGATGAACCTGTTGAACTTTGTCCTGAAGAAACAAACGATGGAGGAGCAGGTCATTTGGAACATCACCAGACAGGCTTTGTCAGCCCTCAAATACCTGGACCAACACCAGGTCAAACACCTGGATCTTAAACGTAAGAATTGACATATTTATTGCTTGTAGGATTACAAAAGGATTTTCTTACAGAAATGGTTGCATGCGTAACAGAATAATGCAACAAATAACAGAACGATGTACTGTCTTTTAATCAAATTATTAAGTCATTTGGGTGACCCATGTTTATCCATTTTTGTCTATCATGTGTTGTGCTTTGTAAACTTTTGAACATTTTCACTTCTTTTCTGGAAAAACAAACAATTTCAATGTTGGTACATATCACCTATGGGTAAAAGAATACAAAAATTATGGTCTTGTCCTCCCTTGAACCCATGGGATGGGTCAGGGTCTTAGGGTGGGGCTTATTTGGTCAAATATTGAAAATACGTAAAGTCTGAGAATCTTCTCTACTTATGGACATTAGGCAGACAAACTGTTTACATGATTATAATAAACACTTAACCCCCTACCAAAACTGCGAAATTCATCACCAGTCACATTTGAAGACCTATTTTAGCCATTGGGAAAAAAATTAAAGTTTTTGTCTTTACACAGCTGAGAACATCTGTGTCACAGACAACATGGTGGTGAAACTGACTGACTTTGGTTCGGCAAAAATGGCCATGCAGGAACAGGACTACCAGGGTTGGACCTCCGAGTACATGGCTCCGGAGATGTGCCGCTCCTTCCTAAAAAGCCGTTACCCCAATGTCTTCAAGGACGAGAAAGAGGACTTCTCTCTGACTGGGAAGGTTGATGTGTTTGCTTTTGGTCTTGTGGTGCAGTTCATGCTTGAGAGAGCACACACACAGACCAAATTTTACACCGATGGAGCCAACTCCTACAAAGATGTGAAAGATGTTAACCAGCTGAGATTGCAGATCATCATTGCTGTATGTAGTCTCTTTTTAAGCGTAGTTCTGTGTTCTTGATGTTACAAATCCTTGATTTTACATAACAAGGTTAGAGATTGAGGTCAAATGATCAAAATAAAATTTATCATCAGAGGAATTTGGCTTTTGTGAGGGTAGTGGAGTTCATAAACATTTTTCCCTCTCCTTTTATCTCTCTCCTAGGGAGATGTGTTGATTTCATACCCCATATTTTGACTTATTATTGACAATATTAATATATGATAAAAGAGTGAAAAATTACTCCTATTAAGTACAACATATGGTTGTTGTTTATTTGATGGTTGTGTTATTTTATCTTTTAACAGAATGCGAAGGATCCGGACATGATTCTCAAATTAATGTTGACAGAGAAAGGAAGTGTGGGCATCAGAGAACTTCTCCGAGGCCTCCTACAGGGTGTGCCTAAAAACAGACTATCCGCAGAACAAGCCCTCCTCAAGATTGAAGGTACTTTTTCATAAAGAAAGTGAAACTCATCAGGGGATGTTGTTAGCTCACCTGAGCCAAAGGCTCAAGTGAGCTTTTCTGATCAAAATTTGTCTGTTGTATGTGGTCGTTAACTTTTCACAATGTCATCTTCTTCTCCAGAACCACTGGGCCAATGTCCAACCAAACTTGGCACAGAGTATCCTTGGGTGAAGGGAAATTGAGTTTGTTCAAATGAAGGGCCACTCCCTCTTCCAAGGGGAGATAATTACAAAATAGTTGAAAATTAATGGCGTCTTTTAAAAATCTTCTTCTCAAGAACCAATGGGCCAGGAAAGATGAAACTCATGTGGAATCATCATTAGGTAGTGTATATTAAAGTTTGTTCAAATCATGACCCCCTGGGGTAGGATGGGGCCACAATGGAAGATCAAATTTTTACATAGGAATATATAGGAAAAATCTTTAAAAATCTTCTTCTCAAGAACAGCAAAGCCATGATTGCTCATATTTATGTGGAAGTATTCTCAGGTAGTGTAGATTCAATTTTGTTCAAATCATGACCCCGGGGGTAGGGTGGGGCCACAATGGGGGATCAAAGTTTTACACAGGAGTATATAGGAAAAATCTTTAAAAATCTTCTTTTCAAGAACAGCAAAGCTGTGATTGGTCATATTTAAATGGAAAGATCCTCAGGTAGTGTAGATTCAAGTTTGTTCAAATCATGACCCCTGGGGACAGTGTGGGGCCACAACGGACGATCAAAGTTTAACATAGGAGTATATAAGAAAAATCTTCTTCTTAAGAACAGCAAAGCTATGATTGGTTATATTTATATGGAAGCATCCTCAGGTGGTGTAGATTCAAGTTTGTTCAATTCATGACCCCCGGGAGTAAAGTGGGGCCACAATGGACAATCAAAGTTTAACATAGGAGTATATAGGAAAAATCTTTAAAAATCTTCTCAAGAACAACAAAGCCATGATTGCTCATATTTATATGGAAGCATCCTTAGTTAGTGTAGATTCAGTTTTGTTCAAATCAGACTTAATGCTTCATTAAAATTTTTACAGCCATGGAGAGAAAGCACATGATTCCAGGACTCCCTCCACCCGAGACGAAAGATGACACAGTATCTACGAAGTTAGCGTCTTTCCATCGACGCCGCTCTACTGCACGACAGCTCAGCACTCTGGCCTCCATTAGCAGCAACACATCTCAGATAGAGGAGCCACTGTCTCCTGGTCCTGTGAAAGGACGACGGAAGGGCAGAAAAAGAATTTGTCCTTACGACTTTGATGACAATAACAAGCCAATTGCAGTGGATGAGAATCTTCTTGGAAATGTTCCTGATTTCTCAGTGCTTCAAGCTTAAGACTTGTAAAATTTATAAATGTGAATTATGAAACTAAAAACTAAAATACCACCAACAGTTTTTTATTCTTTAGTTAAGATATGTTAGATAGTTGTTGCAAACTGCAAATGTATAAGTTTAATAAGCATTTTTGTCAGCTGTCAAATTTATTCTTTTTTTTTTTTTTTTTTTTGGTTTCTTGAATTTTTTTTTTTAAATTTCAAATATTTTTTGTTAACTTTGATAAAATACCTGAAATGACATAACAAGAAAAACTACTTGTAGGTGCCACTTGAAAAGAATTGCAAAATGATTAAGCGTCAGAAATGTACTGTAATACCATTTGTTTGACATTTTCTTGCATGTGTTTAGATATTTGAAGCAATTCTAGAGAGATAAATGCAAAGAATAATTAGAACTGTTTGTGTATCTACTCACATTTTTACACTAACAAAAAGACATTGAGGAATTTTATAAATATATATATAATTGATATTTCATCCAGGATTCTGAAATCAAAGGTTAAACCAAAAACTCCAAAATATGAATCCTGATTACACACACAAACAGTATCACAAAGGTTATAAAATGTATTCCCTGTTATATAAATTTTTCTATGATATGAAGTGAAAAAAGAATTGTGCAGCTTTTATTTCTCTAGAATACCTTATGTATAGATGAAGATCCTTAATGATGAAGTCTAAATTTGTCCAAATTTAAGTGACAAGTTCCTTTTCAACAGGCGATAATAAGGAAAAAATTCTCAAGAATTGGGGGGGGGGGGGAAAACAAACAAAACTTTTAAGAAGCTCCCTCTTTTAGTGAAGATTGAGATTGTCTAATCATGCCCAATGGGTACTATTGGAGCCACAATTGGGGGGGGGGGATTTTGCATTGGAATATATACCAAAAAATCTTTTTTAAAGTCTTCTTCTCAGGAACGGAGGTTTGTCATATTTAGATTTAAGATTGTTCAAGTCAGGTTGAGGCCAGAATAGGGGGCAGAATTTTACATTCCGATAAGTATATATTAGTGAAATCAAATAATGAAAGAGGGCTACATCTGATCATATACATCTATTGATTTACAAACATGGCCATGTAGAAAGTTTTGTCTTAGGGCAAGAGTGGGGTCACATATGGGGGTCAGATGTTTACATGGGAGTTGAAGGAATTTTTTTTACGTCAGGCCCAGTTGTGGCTCATATTTTATGGACATTTCATCAGTTACTGCGTATGCTACCAGTAAGCTGTTGTAAACAGCAGTGGGGCTAAGCGAAGTCTTCTCTGCTATGTCCACATTTTTCAATATATATTTTATTAAGATGCATTTTCACAATGACAAAAGAGAATGGGTTAAAAGCATTAGAAAAAGTGCAGCGAATGAAGACAACCACAAATCCTAGAGGCCGCATTTTTCGTCCCACCTCTCCACCAACACCCCCTGTTAAACTTTGCTAGCTAGGCAAAACAAAGGCATCTTAGGGAATCATAATATTTATCCTTTTTATTGTAAATTTCTTTGATATTTAAAGCCTTGAGAAATTCAGAAAATTTATGCATACTTTACTGTTACACATGGAATTATCAAAATACAAACCAGTGTTTTTACAGATGTTGAAATGATAGTGGCCTTTGTGTATTTAGCTGCATTCTTAACGAAGAAGGGGGGTGGGGTCTTTGTTGAAAGTGCATCTATTTCAGACTCATACGAGTTTGTTCAAGAGAAATTTAAGAGGAGCAGGAAGTTTTCTGCTAAGGAATGATGTCAGTCTTAGAACTGCATGAAGCACAAGTTCAGGTGCTTGTATTCCATGGAGAAATTGAATTTGGTTGAGTATGAAACCTTAATATTTATTGAGCCTTATGTGATGCTTCCTGGACTCGCCATTTTATTCCACCCATCCATCCATTTACATATTGCATATATCATTCATCGTTTTATGATTATGCTATTTTGACAATTGTTTTAAGCTCTATGCACGGATCTAGATGGAGGGGATGGGTGGGTCTGGACCCCCCTGGAATATGTAAAGTTATTAAAATTATACACTGAAGCAAGCAAATAAAAATGACCTTGGAACCCCCCAATCCCCCCCCCCCCCCCCGGGCGAATTTTTTTTTTTTTTTTTTTTTTTTTTTTTTTTGCATGCCAAGAAAAATTTCTGGGTTTGATAAGTTGGGGAAAGGAGTGTTTTTTGTTTTGTTTTTTTGTCAAGAAATTTTATGGATTGGCAATTTTTATTTTTTTTTTGACTGGAGTGGAACCCCCCCCCCCCCCCTTTTGAAAAAATTTCTGGATCCGTGCCTGAGCTCTAAAAATTTATGTACATAGATATGCAAACAAAGTGCTATAAAAAAATTCTTAGGATTTATTTGGATAAAGAAAAACAGAGATACTTCCAAATATTCAGTAATAAAAAAAGGTTGAGTTTGAAACCTTCTGTGTAATTATGGTACATGTATGGATTACGAACTTGTTGAGTTGTCACTTGTTGAGTATACATTGTGATCCAGGGTATGTAGGATCAATTGACACTCATGAGATTTCTTATGAGGTTTAAATTTTGCTATTGACAATATTCTTTTATGGGTATATTTGTTCACCAAATTATAGAATTAACAGAAAATTGATTAAATACATGTACTTGTCAAATGTTTGATTTTCAAACAGTGATTGTACAGGTTTTGTTCATTCATTAATGTTTTTCTATAGAAAAAGGGTGATGTTGTAAAAATTAAAAAAAGATAAATAACAACAAACAAAAGTAAAAGTTTTGATTTTTTTATTGTGAAAAAGATATTTTAAGAAAATCTTACTAGTATCACTACGCAAATCAAACCTTCAATTCTTTTCAGTCCATGTTCATAATGTTCATATGATGTTCTTAACATTATAAAGTTTAACCATTGCATGCAAATGTTTCATCATCAAAAATAAAATGGATTTCATGTATATTTATATTGTTTTGTTGTGTGACTGCAAAATTAGTTGTGGATGTTTAGAATAACTCTCTTCCATTTATGTAACTTTTTCCACACAAGTTTCAAAATGTGGTCTTTCAGAAGATATTTTTGAGTTATTTAAAATTGGTTTCACGCGAGACATTCCAGTGATCTATTGTTATCTGTATTTTCTTGTGTTGGTTGTAAAGACACAATCAGCTTCTTCTCTAAAACTACTGGGCCAATATCAACCAAATTTGGCATATAGTTAAAGGGGTCAGAATAACCCAAAACGCCTGCAAAAATCAATAATACCAAAAACAGCAATTTATTTACAGAAAAAGTATATAGCAGTGAAAATTACAATCTTGCATTTATAGTTCAGAAAAAAACTGTCTGTTTTTAGGATTTCACAAAATCGTCTATAAAGTAACGTCCATGCAATACCCGATTATAGAACTCCTAAGGTAGCATGGACGAGTCTGCATACATAGACGAGTTTGGGGTAACTTCAAAATCCATTTTACTTAAACATAAATCCCTAGAAATGTCTAGAAAATGTAAACACAAATAATACACTTTTAAAATAATTACTCACAAGAGCATGTGTACCCTAGAAATAACACTTAGTCTTCTAAAAATAAAGATTCACGAGAACACCCTAGAAATAACACTTCTCAAAATGATCATGTTTATACATGTAACAGGATGTTTAGGGGAGTAATTGAGACAATCTATATCATTACATTAAACCATTACAATTAGTTCCTGTGTTTTACAAACTAACAGTCCCATAAAATGTTTTATGCCGGTCAATAGCATTCACCAAATGTTTTAGCATATAAAGTTTGACAAAATATCTTGATTTGTTTCTTAAGACTGGGGTTTTCATTGCGCAATACTTCACGCTGCATTGGAAAAAAAGCATATTTATTCTTTTAAAGCAGCTTTTTTTTACATAATTTATAAAATATCAAATTTAGGAAATCTCAGGTTACAAAATCTTATTACATTTTTAAATAACTGATTTTTAAATAATTTTTCAAATGATGGGTAGATAGACGTCGTAATAGCGTGTTTTTGACGTTATGAATAACCGACGTTCTTTAAGAGGGGTCATTAATTATGTCAAATAAAAAGTATAAAATAGATGCTCTTGAAATTTTAAACATAGGAAATTGAGAATCTTACAATAATTTTCATTATTCTCTTTATAAATTTGTGATATCTGTCCTATTTTGTAGTACTCCATAAAAACAGGAAAATGTCATGAATTTTGACATATTTTGAGATGTCTTCTCTGGAAACCAGACGGTAGAATTTTGTGTTTCTTGCATAAAATGTACAATATAGTATTACTCATCAAATAATATAATTTGAGCAAAAAGTCTATAGTAGTATTTATATAATTTGCTCCGGAGTGCGAAAAAAGAGCATTTTCCTATATAATCCTATTAAATGTACCTGTATTTTGAGATGGTCCCTAAAATAGCTAGACGGTAGATTTTCACTAAACTTGGCATGTATACTGAAGTCACTGTAAGGTACATATGGTATAAAATTAAAGAGTTTCTCCATAGTAGTTTTCACACAATAAAGCCCCAGTCGGCTCCCTTAAGAACTGAGCTAAACACAAAATTGAGAAAAGTGAGGTCAAGGTCAAGAACAGGTAAGAAATGTTGATCCAATTGAATAGCTCCAATCAATATTTGTAAGCTTATGAAGTTTGATAAAAAGATCTTGAATAGTTTCTTTAAAATTGAGCAAAACACTTTTTTTTTTAAAAGCAAGGTCAGTGTGAAAGAAAAGGTCAAGGTAAAAAAAAAATGTTAATGCAGTTGAATACCTCCCATCAATATTTGTCAGCATATAAGGTTTTATTAAAATATTTTGATTAGTTTCTTTGAAACAGCTAAATACAAATTTTGAAAAGATGGGTCGAAGAAAAGGTAAGGGTTAAATATGTTTATCCAGTTGAATAGCTCTATGTATCAGGATATGAAGTTTGATAAAAATATATGTAAAGTCCATCTACAGGACAAACCCAGACTTCTTCCTCTCCCAAAATCTAATTGGGCTAATGTGAAAAACGTACGAGTTCAGAGAACAAGGTTTTGGTAAAATAAATGAACAAATTTTTTTTTAAAAAAAGATCATATTTTGACCCCTTTTTGGCCCCCATAGTTTAAAAATA